CTGGGGCGAGGCCTGCGCGGCCGGCCTGGCCAGAGTCGGTTCCGGGACTAGGTTCCGCTGCGGGCCGCTGGGTCCTCCATGTGGTCTGCATTTAACTCCCTGACCCGGGCCTCCAAATCCCGGGCCACTGCCCTGGCCTGGAAGGCCAAGCCCTAAGCCCTTCTCCAGTGTGGCCTCCACCGAGCCGCTGATTCTGGTCCTTCTCACCCACCTGGACCCCAAGATCCCTCTCCTGAAAGGGATGCGTTCGGAGGGCCTCTCACGCGTCCGCCCACCCAGCCAGGCCCTTAGGCTCTTTGCAGTAGTAGTGCTCCCTCTCCGAACCCCAGAATATTGGGAGTTAGGGTCGTGACTGTTAATGTGGACTTTCAAACCAATACTTCCAGAAAGCCTACGGAGCTGAAACTCGATTTCTCAAGGTAAAAAAACATAACTCTTGTAGAAGTATAAAATGAATTCAGGTTAAAAAAAATACTGTTTTAACTCAATGATAGTGAACATAGGTGAAAAATAATTTGATTTAATTAGGGAAGGAACCAGCAAGATACTGCAACCCTTTCAAATCAGAATGTGAAGGACTTACATATATTATCAAGAAAGACATAAAACTGAAATGTAATGTTTAAGATTATAGTCGCCCCTTTTATCTTCACAGGATATGTTTGAGAACCCCAATCCAATGCTTGAAACAGAGATAGCATTGAATCCTATCTGCACTGTTTTTTTGGTGCATTCCTATGATAAAGTTTAGTTTATAAATTAAGTGTAGAAAGAAGTTAATACTAAAATGAACAGTTATGGGATCGCAAAACTTATTTAAAAGTTAAGGATTATTTCTACAATCTTTCATTTAATGTTTTCAGACCTGGATGGAAAATTGGTAAGGGCAACTGAAACTAGGTAAATCCAAACAGCAGATAAGGGGGATCCTTTCAGTTCTACAGGGTGGGAACCAATATCTCTACCTAACAAATTTACATTTCTATTGATAAGAATTATTTACATCACCAAAAATGTCTACAGTTTACGGAGTAGTGAAACAGCCTAGTGAATTGCAGACATGGGTGTGAACTAGAGTCCTGAAGATAACACGCCGACTTTGGCCCAATTCGTAGTTTTTCACACTTTTCCCAACAGATCATCATTACATTTTACCTATGGGAGAATTGAGGATTAAGTTTCGTGACTTACCCACGGCTTTATTAGGTAGAAAATGATTATGACTAGGTCAAAGCCCAGCCAGTACACACAGTCTACAATACTCTAGGAGCGAAATCTTCCCATTTCAAAGAGGCTTTGTAGCTAGCTGCTTAGTTGTATGGATCTTTTATTTTGAATAGCGAGACTTTCTTTTCTTCAAGCATCATCATGTTCTCAGTCCTTTCCCAACAAATTGCCATTCTCTGTCTTTGAAGTAGATGTCGCTTCTATAAGTATAAACAGATGTAGCAGGCAGTGTGAGGGGGCTGTGATTCCAGTCTCTACTTTTGGAAAGAACATTTGTGCTGTCTGGGATAATCTAGTGGAGAAGTTCCTGTCATTTATTTGCAATATGGAAACCAGGAGAATAACCTAAATAAATGCAGAATCTAATCACTGAATTCTGTCTGTAGAAGAGGGGGCAGAGCTGGCAATAAAATAGTCTTACACCTTTTTGCAAAAGGATGATTCATACAGAATAGCAGCCTGAAGAATTTGGTTGATTTGGGTTTTATGTTTTGAAAATGTAAAACTTGTGGAAAATTTCATATTGAAGGAATGACAAGGCTTTTAAAACACAATGTTGATAACTTAAGATGCCCACCTGTGATCCCAGCTACTAGAGAGGCTGTGGCCCAAGTTTGAGCCAACCTGGCGGATTTAGCAAGACCCTATCTCAAAATAAAATTTAGTAAGTACTGGGCATTGAGGTCAGTGGTTGCATGCTTGTCTAGTACTTGTGAAGCCCTGGACTTAATCCTCAGTACCACTAACTAACTAACTAAATAAATAAAAAATTCTTGGACCGGGAATGTAGCTCAGTGGTTCCACCACCTTCCTCGCAAGTGCAAAGACCTGAGTTTTATCCCCGGTACCAAAAAAATAAAAATAAAATAAATGAATAAAATTCTTAAATTGTCCATAATGGGCCTTCCACTTCTAACATTTCCCAGAATGTTTGAAGGGTCTACTAGGCCAGTACTAATCTAGTACATTTGGTTATTAAATACAATTTAAAATTTAGTTCCTTAGCCACATTTGAAATATCTGCTATTTGAAGTGGCTACCCTATTGGACAGTATAGATACAAAACATTTCTATAAGCTGAATTTCTACTGGAAAGTTCTGTCTTAGATACAATTTTCATTTAAAAAGAGAGAGGTATATTTACAAAATTTAGTTCATCAGACCAATAATATATTCAGGATTATAGAACACTGGTTTTATTTATTGTGATTGGAAAGGGAGGGGCAGTCCTTGTGTTCAATTGTGAAAGGCAAAAGGCAGTGTTGAAATACATAGTATTCGAAAATATGTTTGGGGTAAGTGGTTTGCAGTTTTCATATATGATTTCTCAACTTTTAAAAAATCATGGAAAATATGTGGACTATCTTCACTTCTGCAACCAGTTGACCAGTAAGAACAAAACACAAGATTAGTATCTTTAAAAGTACAAAATGCACCTTACATTGTTTCAAGGGTTTTTTCAATATTTTTTTTAAGTTTTCATAAAGGATATTCTGGGTAGCTATTCAAATAATCAGATTATTCATGCAGGTAAACAAA